CATTCCTATCTACTATCTAGATAAACCTATATTCCTCATCTACTATCTAGACACACCTATATTCCCCATCTACTATCTAGACAAACCTATATTCCCCATCTACTGTCTAGATAAATCTATATTCCCCATCTACTATCTAGACAAACCTATATTCCCCATCTACTATCTAGACAAACCTATATTCCCCATCTACTATCTAGATAAACCTATATTCCCCATCTACTCTCTAGACAAACCTATATTCCCCATCTACTATCTAGATAAACCTATATTCCCCATCTACTCTCTAGACAAACCTATATTCCTCATCTACTTTCTAGGCAATTTTATATTCCTCATCTACTATCAAGACAAACCTATATTCCCAATCTACTATCTAGACAAACCTATATTCCTCATCAACTCTTTAGACAAACCTATATTCCTCATCTAATATCCAAACAAACCTACATTCCTCATCTACTATCTAGACAAACCTATATTCCTCATCAACTCTTTAGACAAACCTATATTCCTCATCTAATATCCAGACAAACCTATATTCCTCATCTACTTTCTAGACAATTCTACATTCCTCATCTACTATCAAGACAAACCTATATTCCCAATCTACTATCTAGACAAACCTATATTCCTCATCAACTCTTTAGACAAACCTATATTCCTCATCTAATATCCAAACAAACCTACATTCCTCATCTACTATCTAGACAAACCTATATTCCCAATCAACTCTTTAGACAAAGCTATATTCCTCATCTACTGTCTAGATAAACCTATATTCCTCATCTACTTTCTAGACAATTCTACATTCCTCATCTACTCTCTAGACAAACCTATATTCCCCATCTACTATCTAGATAAACCTATATTCCTCATCAACTCTTTAGACAAAGCTATATTCCTCATCTACTATCTAGATAAACCTATATTCCTCATCAACTCTTTAGACAAAGCTATATTCCTCATCTACTATCTAGATAAACCTATATTCCCCATCTACTCTCTAGACAAACCTATATTCCTCATCTACTTTCTAGACAATTTTATATTCCTCATCTAATATCCAGACAAACCTATATTCCTCATCTACTATCTAGACAAACCTATATTCCCAATCTACTATCTAGACAAACCTATATTCCTCATCAACTCTTTAGACAAACCTATATTCCTCATCTACTATCTAGACAAACCTATATTTCCCATCTACTATCTAGATAAACCTATATTCCCAATCTACTATCTAGACAAACCTATATTCCTCATCTACTATCTAGACAAACCTATATTCCCAATCTACTATCTAGACAAACCTATATTCCTCATCAACTCTTTAGACAAACCTATATTCCTCATCTAATATCCAGACAAACCTATATTCCTCATCTACTTTCTAGACAAACTTACATTCCTCATCTACTATCTAGACAAACCTATATTCCCCATCTACTATCTAGACAAACCTATATTCCCAATCTACTATCTAGACAAACCTATATTCCTCATCAACTCTTTAGACAAACCTATATTCCTCATCTAATATCCAGACAAACCTATATTCCTCATCTACTTTCTAGACAATTCTACATTCCTCATCTACTATCTAGACAAACCTATATTCCCCATCTACTATCTAGACAAACCTATATTCCCAATCTACTATCTAGACAAACCTATATTACTCATCAACTCTTTAGACAAACCTATATTCCTCATCTAATATCCAGACAAACCTACATTCCTCATCTACTATCTAGACAAACCTATATTCCTCGTCTACTATCTAGATAAACCTATATTCCTCATCTACTTTCTAGACAATTCTATATTCCCCATCTACTGTCTAGACAAACCTATATTCCTCATCTAATATCCAGACAAACCTATATTCCCCATCTACTGTCTAGATAATTCTATATTCCCAATCTACTATCTAGACAAACCTATATTCCTCATCAACTCTCTAGACAAACCTATATTCCCCATCTACTATCTAGATAAACCTATATTCCCCATCTACTATCTAGACACACCTATGTTCCTCATCAACTATCTAGACAAACCTATATTCCCCATCTACTATCTAGATAAACCTATATTCCTCATCTACTTTCTAGACAAACCTACATCCCTATCTACTATCTAGATAAATCTATATTCCTCATCTACTATCTAGATACACCTATATTCCCCATCTACTATCTAGACAAACCTATATTTCTCATCTGATATCTAGACAAACCTATATTCCCCATCTACTATCTAGACACACCTATGTTCCTCATCTACTATCTAGACAAACGTACATCCCTAACTATAATCTAGATAAACCTATATTCCTCATCTACTATCTAGACAAACCTATATTCCCCCTCTACTATCTAGACAAACCTATATTCCCCA